GGATGAAGTCTAACTAGTTAGTTTAAGCTAAACCAACTAAATATTAATTAGTTAATTTTGGTTAACAACACTTGTACATTTGAGGTAGGGAATACCTCAGTAACTCAGGCAATCTTAGAACTTTCTAGGCCTGGACCTGCATTTGTATATACATGAAGTTTAAACAGTGAATTAAATCTTATTTTGGATGCAAACAGAGGCTTCTATTAGAGTGGGGTTTGCTGGATCCAATCTGCAAGGTATCTGCAAGCAGGTACTTCCTTTTTTTTTTTTTCTTTAATAAGACTATCAAAATGACACCTTTGACAATGCATTTTTTGTGGATTATAGTTCTATAACAAATATTCAAATATAGTGGGCAGGAGTGAATTATCGTCACTGTGGTTTCTGCAAAGCTCTTAGCAAAAAGAGACAATCATGCATTACTTATTATTTTCTTTTTAAATTTAGTAACTTTTTTAATTTAAATAGCTCATTTGTTTTTCAAAAACTTCTGAATATTAATTTCACTCTGCAGTTCTACTTTCTACGGTTTTTCAACTCAATAAAACTATATTTTTTTCAGAAAAAGCAGTGTAATTTTAGGAACATGAAATTCTTTCAGAATACAGCCTCTTTTTTTATATAGAATTAAAGTAAAAAGAAAATTCAGTTAAAACTTATTATTAATCTGACTGGAGCCTGGCTTCTACTTTCTATAATTAGTCCTTCTTGCTTTGCTCTCACTTCAATACTCTACTGCTTCACATGGATTAATCTGAACTAGATATTTCCATTGTATACAGCCTTGAACAGCTGGATGGAATCAATGAATTATTCTTCAAAGATTTTTAAAGCTTCATTCAGACTTTTGCAACAATTAACTTCTAACTACCCATATAAGCAGAACTGATACTCTTTTAAGCTGATCAGTTTTCCACACCTTTTATCATCTCAAGTTAAATCAGTATACAGATTCTGAATACAAACTAGCAAGAGCATACTAACTTCCAGTTTTGAAGTAAACACCACACCTATGGCTCATCTTCTCATATTTAGGCCCACTGCATTTTAAAACCTGTTCTTCTTATATTAATATTTTCTATTGCCAATTCTATTGGTATTATTTTCTGGTGATATTTACTTTCTGTTTATATTAATAAATCATTACAATTATTTATATATGCATTTGTTTATTTATCACATTGCAAAAGGTAACTTGGAAAAAACATACTGAGAAATGAAGAAATATGAAGCATTTCTCTGTATTCATGAATATTTCACATGCATCAACATTTTAATGAGCAAAATCCAACATATTATTCCTGTGTGGTTTTATGCTTCTTATTCTACAGAAACCAAGTGTTTCTGTGAATGAATTCACTGCAAAAAAACTTTAAGAAATATAGTTGTCTTCAAAAGAATTGTTTCAACACATCTGCAATTCTAGGGTAGAAAATTACAGAAGAGACATTTTTTCCTAGACACACTTTGTAACTCCGTTTAGAAGAAATAAGCAAGTTTAAGTAGTTAATTTCTTCTTAAAACTTAATCACTTTTCCATAAGACTTTTTTCCTTTAGATACATTTTATGCGCTTAGTTGAATAACACAGATTAGCTTACTACTTAACCTAATGTGGGTGACAATCAAAATGTTTTTATATACCATTTGAAACTCGAATTGCTTGGAGTAAAAATATATTTATTTCTTGAATATAAGCTGAAGCTATGTAGTTTTTTCTCCACAGAATATAATTTCTTAAACATATCAGTGATATCTGAAAAGCTAACATCAAAATAAGTTTATTGACATTAAAACATACTATCTATGGACAAGGTGATTCAGCAGTCTCTCCCCATGAATACCCACACTGCCAACTCTGAAAGACAGAGGACATTCATTTGCTCTTCAAAAGAAATTACTGTCATTAGAACATGAGCACATTAACTTTTTTTTTGGCCCTACATAATTAAAGCAAAACAATCAATCATTTAATTGACAATCTTGCCTTTGGTGAGGGCTCTCCTCTGCCATGCTTTATAGGAAAGCATGAAGACCCAGGGACAGGTTAACTTTGGAGGTATCAATGTATGCACTTCAATAGCAGCAGAGAGGACTCACAGCCCCCAGCTGTGCCCACACATCCTCTTGCCCCCTGATTTGGCACAAAGTAGGCTCTCTCCGGGGAAAATGGGACAGCATCCCCACAGCAGATGTGTGCTTACAGAGCTCCAGCCCCTGAATGATGGCATGTGAGTCCAAAATAACACTTTGAGACACAAGAAACAATGGTTCAAATTGGAGTAAACCACTGGACCACCAATAGGTAATCCAGACAAAAATCAACTACTTTGATCCAATGATCTGCTCCTAAGGTGGTAAATTTCTCGGTGAACAAGAGTACATAACTGTCATTTAATTTATTTGCATTTCTGTAGCTGTGGTTCTTTTTTACTTATGTAAGAAGGAACTCTTAAAATTTGACTTTAATCCTTAGTGGGAACAATACCTTGCAACATTGATTTCCTCAGGCTAATTGCATTAATTGTTAATTAGTTGTAAGTCATTGCCTTTCACTTTTGTGAGCAACCTCGTTTCCTTGTGTCATGAAGAGAACGTGGTACGTGAAATTATACAGGGTAAGCCCACAGTTTTCAATTTCCTCTCTAAGTCATCCCAGCGAAGGGATGCTGGATGTGATGCTGGCCAGACACAACTTCACTTACCTCCAGGAATTTGCACAGTTTGCAGATGGGAAATGTACTCAAAGACTGGACTTGCAATAGCTTGGTCTTTGAATTTAAGAAGAGGGAATTTTCTTTCTTTCTTTCTTTATAATATCTGCGCACAGATATTATAAAGATACATCTCTCCTCCCAATCTTTCCCAGTTCTCCCAGCTTTTCTCATTCAAAATTAATTCTAAGTCTTTACCAAAATTTGCTACTATTCTTTTTATACCAGAGAACCTTCTTTTTAACATTCACCTCTAAATTTACTGGATGCACAGTCTATAACAGGATATTTAAATTCTTAATCCCTTTCTAGAACATCTTTAATTGTTTGTACTCATGCATTCAAATATTGTTATCTCATAAGGTATCCAGCGTCCTCTCTTCTTTGACACTGACATAAAAATACCATGCACTGTCTCAAGATCTTAACATCAGTAGGTTTTTCTCCTCTTTTTTTAATCTGCCTGTTAGATTGCTCCTCCACAGATTGTCTAATGGACTAAAGCCACAACACCTTTTCCTGTTTTCCAAGGAGAGGGATTAGAGGAAACTGTGACTGCTTTCAATTCCAATTCTATCATCAACTTTTTCATCTGCACTTGTAAAATACTCCCTTTCAAATTCAAAATATTATTTCAAATCCCATTTTTTTATTATTCAATCACAGATTTATCTCTTTCCTCAATTGCTTTTGGTCAGCTTTTGCCTCAGGAAATCCCATCCATCAGCTAAAATGCAACATGGTCAGAAATGTAATACATTTTTTTAACTAGGCTTCATTAAAACATTCAACACTCTGTGTTGAAGCTTGAGCTTGCAAGCTTGAGCACCAACTGTAGAAGCTAATTAAGTTCTCCACAATAATACATATGTCCACCTGTCTCCACAATGAAGTTACTGTGGATTAAAGAAATAAGACTGTGTGAGTCTGAATGATGTAAGATAATATAACTTTTGAAACCTGTCTCAAGTTTGTGTACTCACATATCTTAAATTAATCCCTCAAAATTTTCTGCTGAAGACTACATTAATTGATGCTTTATCAGCTCTAAACACTGTCAGCTTCCTTTACAATCCCTTTACTTTGTAAAAGATATATACTGTATATATAGCAGAACTCTTGGCTCCTACAGCAGAAAACAAGCATGTATGGAAAATTAGGCTATATATAATTATTTCAAACTTACAGCACTTCAACTTTTGCCAAGATTATGCAGTTAAAAACTTCAATACTTAAATACTTGCAGAGATCAGCCTAGCAAAGATCATGAAGTCAGCCTCACTAAAATTGCTAATTCTTTGTGTCCCACAGGGGAAAAATGTCAGTGAAACTTAAAAATACAAGGAGAATTTTTATTCCACATCACTGTGAAATTGATGCATCAAAAGTTTATAGAATTCAGCTTGCCAAGCATTTAATATGGGATCACTGGGGGGAAAAAAAAAAAAAAAAGTATAGCAAAATTTACTGGCAAGTTCACCTTTTAAGTGTTTTCTTGCTTAAGCTCTGGTAATAGGAAAAGTAAGATATCAAAACCTGCCTAAATGTTAAATACAGTTAACAAATTAAACCAATTTGTTACTCACCCTTAGGAAGCATATTGTTGTATCTAACTTTTAGAAACAAGCTCTGGGTTAACTTAATACTCAGTAAACTATAGCCACAACATAAAACCAAATTTCATATCTAAAACAGGTGCAGTTTTTCACACAAAGTTTACTCAAGCTTTTGACTCTCCATCCACCAAAATACCAGCCTTTCAAACTCATCCTTTGTTCCAATGCCCTGATGACTTTTATCTGCTTTATTTATTACAATCAGAACTGCAGTTTCTGGGAACAAACCACTTAATTTATGCTGAGAATTCAAAAGGAAAGGATTACATTAATTTTCCCATCACTAGCTCCATGCTCCTATGAGGAATAAAGCTGTATAAATTAAGCTGTATCACTAACTTAACATGATTTCATAGAAGCCTAACAACCAGCTCTCTGGAAAAAAAATGACAATTTTTTTAAATCATTCTTCTGACCATAGTTTACAAACGACAGATGGGCCTGAGCCACAAAAACCCTTGCAAAGTTCCTGGCTTCTCATATGCCAAGTTCAGCTTCCGCAACATTATTACCTATTCACAAGTAATTCCATACATTCCCTCAGTCATACCCAGACTAGTTCATGATCACACTGGCACTGCATAGAAAAAGGACAAATTACACAGATGTATAATTCTATGTGGTCTTATACAAAAATATTTATTAATAGAAATTCAAGCACTACTTACCACATGAAGAATTTTATTCTCTGTTTCATATACCGTGCAATCCTGAAAAAGCAAAGCAGAAGACAGGTTAAACTGATCCAATCATTCATCCTTCCTCTATTTATCCTTAAAAAGACATAAACTGAACTAAAAAGTCTTTAGGACTAAACTAAAGATTTCCAAGTCTCAAACAGAACAGAAAGATTCATGCAACCAAAGTGTAGAGAAAGGAAATACTGATAAACATTTATATCCAATTCACTTGTCCTTGTTGCTTCCTTCCTTGAGACAGGTAATGACCTTCCTCCACTTTACATCCATTTGGCACATACCAGCGAGTCACATGTGTGCTAGACAAGTGGCTTCAACCAGAAGTCCCTGACCATGGACAAAAATGACCCTCTTCCACTGGCAACATTGAAAGACAGAGGTGCCAGCAATAGTCGTAAGTAACTAAGGAAGAAAACTAAGAGGAACAATTCCTGCTTAGCTAGCTGAACTGACATGTTTGCACACCCTGACAAAGAAGAGAAGGAAAACCCTGGGAGGAGGATGAAGAGAAAAAGGAACCACTGGTTGTTTATAACACTCCATGCAATGGGAGGAAATACAAAATGCACAGGAAACTGGAGTCAGACCATCTTATTCCATACAGCCTGCTGGGGATTGCATGCACATTGTTGTCACTTTATGTAGCATGTGAGGCAGTTTCTATAAGCAATACTAACAGATGGGAGGCTGGAAGCTGTGAAAGTTTTTCTGACAGGCCTAAATTTCAGTGGATATAGAGAAATGGAATTAGTAAGGCAGAGAGCACATGAAATCCAACCAACATTGGTGAAAGAACCACTTTTTTCTAAGTTCACCCGATGCTGTAGCTTTATGGTAATTAGTGCGAGCTCTGTTTAGAATGGATGCTTCATACCCTACCTAATAAGCCACATGAAAAATGTGATTAAGTTTTCATGTTTTAAGTCTCATTTTTTAAATCAGTTTGTCCTGTTAGAAAAACAACTTTATTATACGCAACTGTTTTAAAAAATTTACTTTTAATCCATGAAACACTCAAGCAAGAAAAGCCAATGTGTTCTTAAGCTTTAAATAAAGAAACCTATGCAGAAGCAGCAGGTTCATCAGGGAGTGTGTTCCTCCTAACAGCTGTTGGCATTCAGGAAACATTTGCCAGTAAGTACAGCCGGAAGGAAAATCTAACACCTTTAATTATGTGCAGACATCAATGAAATATTTGCAATCTTAGTTGCAAAACACACATTTCGTTGTTATATGTGGGAGGGCATGTAACATTTTCAGTCTGGATGCATCTATGTTCTGCATGGTTTGTTATAAACAATATTGCAAAAATAGCAGGAAGGGATTGTAACATTTATATTGAAAAAAAAAGAAATGCTTTTAAGCAGACACAATTATTTAACCGGTAATAGGAAGATTTTACTGTGACTTTAAAGATTCAACTTAAAGTTGATACTGTTTGAGAAGTCTCACTACTAGGGGAAGAAGAATTCTGGGTTCTTAAATGCTGGAGAGATTTATTACAACCAAGAAACCAGTGAATAACAGAGAAGCACTGCTACATCCTTGAAACTTCCTCACAATCAGGAAGGAGGAAGCTAAAGAAATATGCTTATTTCTGACAAATCAAGAGTATATAAAAAAATAAAATCATTCTGAATCTAAGGAAGTCAGTAAAGCAAACAGAAAACTTCTCAGACATCCAGTCTATATATAGGGGCAGTTGGCCTCACCCTTAAATTCTCTCCTCAACACATAATTCCCTACAAATCCAGGGGCTAGGAAGAGGAATCTCCATATGAGTTCATCACATAGCAGACAGCTAATTGTTTATGCTATGTCTTCATATTCAGGCAAGAGAAAAATTAACAGCTCAGTAAACCATAAAAGGCAGAAACACTGGAGAAGAGCAAATGCAATGCTTAGGTAAAAAAAAAAAAAAATCCAAATTATAATTTTTCCATACATGAATGACATCTAACTAAACATAATCCAAGCATGAACTCAAGGAAATGTGCAGGAATGGAAAGGTCCATGCCGTCATGGCACAGAGCAGCCCTGAAGTCTAGGATTCAAGGAAACCTAGCAAAGGTCACCAAGCTGATCCTTGCATCGTTAGGAAGCTTGTTTTAACTTCCTGCAGTCATCCCTAGAGACCAGGGCTGAGACAGCTTCTGAATGATCCCAAGAGCAAAACCTACATGTCACTTTCTTTCATAGTGAACAGCTTATTTCCCCTTAGATTTTTGAAGTCACTCCACTGCTTTGTGCTTCATCATTAAGCAAGTGCTGAGGATAACTTGCTCACCCGCTTCAAACATCCCTTAGGTAGAATGATAAGCTGAAAGCTTATTACTGGGGGCCTTTACCATTTACAATATTGCTTCTTCATACCCATTTCATTTCAACTAAAACGGCTTAAAGCACTTGCAAACTATAAAAAGAGTAACTAACTATGCAATTAGAAATAAATTTGTATTCTTAACAGAATACCACCCACAGCTGGAGAACATCTCTTTTTTCCATACCTACACTATAAGCCCATATCTTGCTCCTGAAAGATCTTTTTAAATATCTGTGTAACCACAGTACCAAAACATTGCAATTAAGGTAAGAAACAGATCATACTTAAGTTTAACATCAACTATTTTTTACTTTAGAAAAGCAGAAACACACAAAAAATCTGCAACCGAACTTTACTCCTACACAAGCTAACAATTTGCTACTCACTTAGTGAAACAATGCTGTGATTACCCCCGAACTGAAATACACAGATATAGCACAGAGAAGATATTTTACTTTTACCTGTTTAATCTCTGAACTTCACACATATATTCACTGATAAACTATACCTAAAGCTAGGCTGTGTGATCTTCATCTAACCAAACAAACAAAACTTCAGTGAAACAGCATAAGGTTATCTTCTAAATGCGTATTATTTCCTAAAAGATTAATAACACAGATTGCTAATAAAGCAACAAAAGCACTTCTGTGTTAATTTATACTTCCTGAAGACGTAGTCAAATATTTGCCATTATCAGTTTCAGAGAGGAAAATGGGACAGTATCGTCCCCAAAGAAAGAGAAAAAAAAGGGGAATATGATGGAACAACTTAACTACTAGTATCACATCCTCATGGACACTCTTTTTCAGCTTTGCCTCATGCACCTAAAAAGGAAAAAGTGGCCTTTGTGGAGGCAGCTGAAACTAAGCTTAAGATCCTAATAAAAAGGGAAACATGAGGTCCAAAACTGGAAGAAAAAGAAAAAAAGTGCAGTAAGGGAGGAAGATAAGAAGAGCAAGAACAAACCACAACAATCAGGAAGAGGATTCTTCTGCACTTTCAATCCCAGTATAATTTTAAAACCTATTTTTAAAATGAGCAAGACCTATGCTCTGCAACTGAGAGGAATCAGTTATATATTTTCCAGAACTTCTGACCTTCATGACCACAATTCTGCATTATTTCTACAGAAACTACAAGTCTAATCTGAAAAGATCCTATCATAATGTCATAAGTAATAATTACTAAAGACACTTAAATTTAATCCACTGAGTAAGACAGCACTGACTGGTGACAATGCTGCAAAATGTACACCTCTCACCCCATCCAGCCCCAGACATTGCTAAAACAATTCACACATGAGGCAACACATAAAATAAAAATACTTGTGGATTTTATTTTTCAAAAGCAATGCTTATGATGCTTTATTTTTCTACTTTATTTTCTTCTCCCTCATTATTACTGCCCTCTTTTTAAACATTTGTCTTAGTACGTCACAGAAGTAGGGAATGGGGTCAGCTAATTACACCAGCACTTTTCTTATTCTTTAGTCCTTTTCTTCGCACCCTAGTTGATTAATTCTCAACTCAAACTGTGAAATACTGAGATGCAGAAGACCTCCCAACTCATCCTACTGATCGTATACATATCCCAAGGGAAATAGTGTTCACGCTGTTCTCCAGTACTGTAACTATGGGATAATACTCAGCAGAAAACACTTCTATTTTTGCATATATATGATCTGGTTTACAAGCCCGAGTCGGCAACCTGTCAGGATTACCTATTGCAATTATCTGTCACACACTTCTCCTCTTGATACTTGCAGGCTATAATCCTGAAACATACCATCATTATTACTACTACTACTGTTATTATTAGTGGTTTTGCTACATATTCTAGGCAGCTGCTGCACTGTACTCTTCTTGGCAGTCTTAAGGTCCTGTCAGCTCCATGACTTAACTTCAGAATAATATTATGCTAGCTCAGAAAATAAAATACATACATACAAATAATTAAGGGATACAAAAAGGGAGAATTGCAGAAATATGCTTATTAGTTCTTTCAGGAACAAATCAGAAACATTTCAGCAGTTCTAATAATCCTTAGATCAGAGTGTTCAAGAGAGGGCATAGACTTCTCTCACTGTATTTTCTTGTTCAGCAGAATGCCTTAGCTGCTCATGTATATTTAGTCATTCTAATTTATTTTTTCCTCCAAGGCAAGGATATTTCCTAGGCAGAACTGATACAGAAGCAGGTTACATGACTGTCAAGAACAAAAACCAGATCTCCGGATTCTCAGGTAACACGTTAGCCCAAAAATGGCCTTTGTGAATTGATACGATAGTAGCATTTCTCAAAAGCAGACTGTGTGGTGCTACAGAGGTAGTCAACTGGAGCAACTTGCAAAGAACAAGAGCTTGCCAACAAGAGAGCGTTCGTTCTCCAGGCAGCTTTCAAGCTGCTTCTGCTGGAGCTTCTTCATTGTTTTTTTTTCATTTGTTTTCCTCTGCAGTCTAACTGAATTTACATGAAGGTAATTTATATGTGTGTGTTTGCATATATTGCACTTTTTTTACCAGTGTTTTGCTGATATAATGCAGGTAAGACTAGGAACACAATTTTAAAAGCAGTAATGAAATTGCCTGGGAAATGCATCTTTCATGAGCAATCCGACACATTTTCCACATCTAGTTTTAAGAGGGCAACAGCTAGATTTTGTGTACTGCTTAAAAACAGATGTCGGATAG